AACTTGAGGGTCACAACCTACACCCCCAAGTGAGGTCTGCCCACCCAACCTCAATAAACCAGCTAAAGGAGTTAACTTTAAAGTGGAAAGAAACAGGGTGGGGGAGTGGAAAGCAGGAAAAGGAGATTTATTGAATGTGGCCACACTGGGAAGAGGGACCAAGAGATCCATCAAGCCCCATCTCCCCCAAGTCCAACTTCATGGTCTTGAAGTGAGATCAAAGTTTAAATAGAGAGCCAAGGACATGCATGTCTATGTAGTCCTTGTCAAGATGGTGTCCCACCCACCACTGACCCATCATTGTCTGGATATCAGTCTTGTCCTGTAGGGTAGTCTGATAAGTTGTTAAAACTGTGTAAAATCTCTTTCTGGGAGACAAGTCCTCCTCCAGTAGATACCTTTTATGCCAGGCAGGTGACATCATCGCCTTGAGACTCAGGTCCTCCGGCTTGCACAACAAGCACTCTTGCCCACTAAGTGAGCTCCCCAACCCCATGTCTCATTAGTACTTGTCTATTTATTTGGCCTATTGTGGACAGGTGGCTGAGCCTTGCTTATTAGAGCTGCCGGGGCATAGACTGACTGACCTTGATGACTCTTAACATTTTGACTCCACCTCTGCAGATGATGCCTGGGGTCTAGCTGTTACAAGCCTTCTCAAGCTCTAGGTCATAGGTCTGCCTGTTTCCACATGGACCTTTGATGTTGTCAGTGGCAGAGCAGTATCCACCCTGCCTGCCTTGTATCATGGTTCAGCGGGAAAGAGGGCCAGCTGTATCCCATGTGTGTTTGCAAAGTGCTGTGTGCTCTGAGTCACAAGACCAGACACCCCATTAGAATCATCTCTGGCTTTGGGCATCTCTGAGAGGAGCCAGCTGGCTCAACATCTACGGCCACCTGTTTCTAGGAGCATCTGGCCCAGTTTTGACACCACTAAGAAGTGAGTGCTGCCAGAGCCCCAGGGCCTGTTGCAAGGGGAGATAAAGGCCATTTATAGTGCCCCCCTCCCCCCGACCCTGGTGATACTGTCTGGATCCTAGACACTCAGGGATGGTTTGTCAGTTTTCCCCTGCAAAAGCTTGTCTTTCTCTGTCCTTCAGCACAAGGCAGAAATTCAGGAATGGACTGTTTGAGGCCAGGAAACTCAGCTTCCCATGCTGGGCGAGTTGACATCTGCCTCTGAGGGTAGAGTCCTTGAACTTCTGGGACCTCCTTACTTAAGTCTGTTATTAGCTTTAGCAGCCACAAAAGACAGGTTCAACCTGCATCCTCAGTTGCCAGTGACATAGACAAGTCATAGTGAAAAGCATCTAAAGGAGATTAAATCACTGTGGCCACATTGGAAGAAGGACAAAGAGGTCCAGTGACCAAGCCCATCTTTGGAATACTGATGTGAGGTTTAGGTTTAAATTGAGGGTATGAGTTAAGCAGCCCTGGTCAAGGTGTGGTCTAGCTCACCATTGACCCATCATTGTCCCAGCCTTCGTCTCTTCCAAGGTGGTCTGACAATTTGTCCAAACTGTGTGAAATCTGAATCTGTCAAGAGACAGGCTCCCTCTCTGGCTGGCATTGGACTTTAGCCTTTTCCCCCACTGGGCATCAGACTCTGGGGAAATTCCAATTCCTTGGCATCCATTACTTCAACAGTCTGATAGACAAGAAGAGAGGCACCAGTGTCTCTGTGGAATATCCATGTCCCTGGCAGCACCAGTTAAGAAACCCTTTGAGAACGGGTCTGTCCCATCTTCTGGGAACTGTCGATAGGCAAGCACTCACAGACCTTTTTAGGGAATTCAGCTTCTCTGACACTCCTGCAGGCTGCAGGAGACTCTGCCTCTGTCCCTTGAGCTGCAGAGAATTGGCTGCTCATCCGCAGGCCAGGACCAGCCCTCAGTCCTCAGTCTCATCCTTCCTTTCTGCAGGCCTCTTCAATTGCTTGACTCATGCAGAAGCTTCTGGTCTAGTGACCTGGTAACTCTGCCCTATTGGAGCTTTTCTCCACTCAGCTTCACCCCCTAAGAGCCCAGCCATGCCTGCCCCTCCCCCTCTGGGGTCACACTCACAGCTGGTGTCCTGAGCCTGGGTAGGAGGGCAGCTAAAGGTCTGCTGAGGCCTGGGTGCAGGAGGTTGAGCTAGCAGCTGTGGCTTCCACCATGGAGAACAGCATGCCTCACCCTTGATGGTCATCACGTCTTAGACAGGCCATGGGGTCCTTAGAAAATTCCAGAGTAAACGACAGAGTGTTTTCTGTTTAAACTGAACAGCCAGAACTGGGTCACAAGGGGAGCAGAGAAGGACATTTTTCTCCTCCACTATTGACTCCACCCCTCTGAGTGACTCACCCATTTCCTAACACCTTAGGAGCAGTGATCACCTCTCCAGCACGCAAGGCATTACTCTGAGTATCTGTGAGCCCAGGCGCCTTCACACTCAGAATGTATGGAGAAAGAGATGTTCCCTCCCTGCCCCTCCTGCCCCCCTACTGTGGACATGGCTGAGCCAAACCACACAGGAGGATGGGAACTCCTGAGACAGCCTGCAATAAACCTTGATACCGTGTGGGACATCATTGTAGTGCCTGATGGAGACCCCAGCCCAGGGGCTCACATTCCAGCGGGCAAACAGGCAAAGATGGTTTTCATCACACCCGAAGGACAACCATGTTGTATAACATGACTTGGTCATTCTGACCCTAAAGCAGAGACTGCTGTCAGTTGGTTTGGGTTAAAATCCAGTCCAGAAAATTCAAAAATAGATGCATGAGTCACCAGTGATGTTTGGAGGCAGAGAGCAGTTTACTGAGAAGAGACCCAGATGGCTGGTGACAGGGACATGGCGAGTTTGGTTTGGCAATCTGTGCTTCTCGCTTGCATCGGCTGCAAACGGCGGGTTTTGCTGCAGTGATGCCATTCCTCCAAAGGCTACTAAGATGGATGTCACAGAGCCCCAAGGGCAAGAAGGGCTCCAGGGAACCTGATGTCAGGCCACTCAGGTTGACATATGAGTCCTACTGTGTGCCAGCCCTGTGTCTGCATTTTAGTTCCATTCCTGTTTCTCATCCCTGTCCCATGTCACAGAGCTACCGTTTCACACCTAGGGAAGGCACTGCAGAGGGACTGGGCCAGAGTCACTAATGGCAAGGCGAAGATTAAGGAAGAGTTCCAGAAACATAGACCTATTGAGGCCATTGATCACAGAATGCCAGGCTAGCTCTGGCTGTTTCGATGTAAAGGAGGCTGGCAATGTGGCTGCCTGGCTTGCTTCCAGGGAGCCATGAAGCCTCACTATCTCACAAGGGTGTTGCCAGGGGCCCCAAGCAGAGCAGAGCTGGAAGACAGGGGCTGGAACACCAAGACCACACTTTTCCAGAAGCCCCTCCAGATGCCTGAGGGTCAGTTGGGGCTTCTCTACCGTACCTGCCCCCTCTATTTACTCCAGTGCTTCAAGACACCAAGCTGGTGGGCTTGGGGGTAACTTGAACATGGAACCTGCGTCCCTCTGTAGAGTCAACGCTAGGGAAGCCAGGGAACAGACTGGCAGGACAGGCAACCGGCTGAAAGAAGCCTGCAGCCAAGAAGGCATGCAGAAGACAGCAGGGCCTGAAGTGAGATCACAGAAGCAAGGGCGGCAGGTCCTCAAGGGGGAAGCGAGGGCATCTCGCTGTGTTTTGTATCAATCAAAGTTTACTTGAAAAGTGACATCTGGCCAGGCGTGGTGGTGTATACCTTTAATCTCAATACTTGGGAGGCAGAAACAGTTGGATCTGAGTTCAAGGCTACCTGATCTGTAGAGTGAGTTCCAGGGCAGCTGGGGCTACACAAAGAAACCATGTCTGGTCTTAAAAAAAAAAAAAAAAGTGACATTGGAAATTTTTCTCTCTACCCTTGGCAATTTATCATTCTGAATCAACAAACTGGAGCAGACTAATTAACTAGGTTAGATATGGAGTGGCCTTTGTTTCCGCTTCCTACGAAGCCTGCTGGCTGGAGGTGGGATATAAGGCAGTTTTTATGACGTCGGTGCATTGCCTTCTTGGATCTCTTGTGCCGTGAACAAAACTCAGCTTCAACATTCATTCCTGCCTCTGCCCACTGGCATTTGTGGTGATGGGCAGCATGAACTCTGGTGTTCTGGTTACATCTCCAGGACAGTCATCTGTGTGCTGGGGCAGGTGCACCTGGGCCATCCCCTCCACTAGCGGCAGAGGGGATGGTATAGGCTCTGATGGGCTACCTCCCACAGGTGTGGGTCTTTCTCTATGCCATGTTGTAGTGGAGCCTTCCCCTCCAGGCATGACTACTGATGTCACAAAACACAGTTGCTGTGGTGCAGAAGCCATGGCCCACAGGAAACTAGAAGGTGGTGGGAGCTAGATACGAGGTCATGACAAAGGTACAAACTGAGGTTTCAGTTGTCACTCCCTCCCGATGCAATTGGCTTTGGAGGCGGCATGAGGACATTTAGGACTGAGAAGTGGACTTGGGGACTCCAGTGGTGGAGCTGCAAGATAAGTGACTTCCTAGTTGTGGGGGCCAATTTGGCAAGTCACCCAACAAACTCAGTGGCTCACTGAACAGAACTGGATGGAATCTTCTCTTTGGTCTATTAGTGACCTATCTTGCATGAGTGGATATTTCTTGACATCTTCCTAAGAAGCACTACTTGCTTAGAGGCATCTTGCCTGTGACCCTGTACTTGTGGCCACACCCCTCTGGGAGTGGCTTCAAGGTGGCGGGAATTGGCAAGGGAGAAGTGTGAGGTGTGGTTTCTCTCTCACATGCCCTTTCTCTTGGGTCAGCAGATCTAATAGGAAGGGCAGAGAAACACCCCAACGGTTTTTTATATTATATATGTAAATGTTCCCCAATAAACACCCATTTATCATTTATCTTGGGTCTAGTGAAGATCATTACACCTACGCCTTCAACTTGGCATTAAACTCCCGCCACCCTGATCAGCTTCCTGAATGCAGCAGAAAATGGAACAAACCCAACTCTTACTTTTAAAATGGCTTTATTAAAGGCTAGTAGTATAAAATAGGATCAAGTTATAAGTTGTCAGTAAGAATTTACCATTTTGAAAACATGTATCAAAGGAGAGAGTGGTGTGAAGAACAGAAGGCCATTCCTGGTCCGGGCATGAGGAACACACCTGGCCAGGAGGCCGACTCCCCTGCTCTTAATGGGAGTACATCCAAGCCTGAAGGGCCTGGGATTCAGGGACAGCCCAGACAGGCACAGTCTTGGTTCCTGAGAGCTTTTGTCAAATACAGCCACCAAGAGTGAGACACAGAGCCCTGGAGCTGCCTCCCAGCTGTTGAGCCTGGGCATCTGGTTGAGTCCAAAATCATACACAGGTTTTCAGCCAAAGAATGTGCTTTAAAGAGAAATAATGAATGTACTTCATCAGATGCCAGGGGAAGAGAAGGTGCTAATACCTGGCCAATCTCCTGGGCACTGCCACAGAGTCCCTGGGGGAGACCAAGAAGCCAGCTTGGTATGGACCCTGCCCAGGTGTAAGGACAATCCCCAGGTCAGGTGGGTCCTTCAGGGTTCCTCCTTCTCTTGGGAGGCCTCCTTGAGAAATACCACTGTGCCTACACTCAGCCCCTCTCCATATTTTCACTGGAGAAAGTAAAAGGGAATGAGGAGAGAGTGGGAAGAAGTGAAAATGTCTGCACAGAGAGCAGACTGGTCACCCTGGTCAAGTGGCCGGGGCGGGCCTTCTCGTTCCTGCTACGTCAATGCTACGGACCACAGCCCTACAGGGAAGGAAAACATGCACAGGCCTGAAATTAACCCACCACTCTACTGGGGTAGGAGGGTGGGCACATGGTAGCTGTGCTGGACCCCCTGAAGAGTGAGAGCCAGTCTGGGCTGTGCCAACGGCAGCTTGCCACTTATTTTCTTCTTGTGTGCCAGAAGTCTTTCTATCCTTCCCCTATCAACTGCTCTACAACAGTATAAAAGGATAACTGGTGAGAAGTTGCTAGAGGAAGGCGAATCCAAACACAAGAGACCAAGGGAGGGTTCGGGACATAAGCTAATTGGCAGGTATTGCATCGATATTGGCTAAGTACAGCTTTGGCATATTTTCCTAGGGGAGCAGAGAAGGGTGTGATAGTTGCTGTGTGCTTTACCTTGGTAAACAGGGTCAAATGGAATATTCCAGAAGCTATTTCAGAAAGTCCTACAACACAGGCATTAAGAAGGTTACACCTTTCAGTACTGACACCAGGCGCTCAGAAGAGGGGGCTCATGGAGATTAAGGCTTCTGGTGAAGAGAACGGAGCGTCGGTGAAGGGTAGACCATGCCACCCAGAGCTCACAGATCTGCTTGGGACCTCCTGTGGATGCATGTGCTTCAGAGGCCATGACAGGGCCACCATGACGACAGAGAATAATACATCTAGGTACGGTGCCTGCTCCTCACCCAGCCTTGCTGCTGTGAACTCTCAGGGCTGCAAGGGGAAGTTTCTGGAACCCTCAGGAAGGCCTCTTGCACTTGAAGGTGATCAGGTCTTGGGGAGAGGCCTTCATGACACAGCTGGATCAGACTGAGGTGAAGAATGGCCAAGCCTGCCAGTCTCACACCGAAAAGTTCAGTCACAGTGAATCTGAAGAGCCCTGCTCCCCAGCACCACTGTCACCACCCTGACTCCCACAGTGGCCAGGACTGGGACACTAGCAGGACAGTTATGATAAATTCCAGAAGAAATACCTACAAAGCCAAGGAAGCTGCTGCAGCTACATATAACACAGTGAGAATCTGATAGAAAACCTGCCAACAGGCAGCTGCTTTTGAACAATCAAAGCTCCGAGTAAGTTGCTAGGACAGCTTAGAGGGCACCTGCCACCTGCCAGCAGTCTGTTTCCTTTGGGGGGGGGGCAGGACACCAAATGTGGCTTCAGCAAAGGAAGAGTACCAGGTGAGCCCATTTTAAAGGATGAATCTTCCACAGCAACAGCCAACAGCCCATATCCATCCAGGGAGCCCCCAACAAGAAAAGGACTGGGGAGGGCGAAAAGCAGGGGTGGGGGGGGGGTCGGGTGCCTTTGCGACCTTTTGTGACTTGGTCAGAGAACCTTCTTGGAGGGATAAAGTGGGATGGAGCTGGGAACAGAAGTTTTATTTACAAGGCTTACTGGATTCTTAGTCTTTAAAAATCCCAAGTGTAAAACTTGTTATCAAATCCTTGAAAATAGCATATTTGTCTATTTGGTTTTACCAAAAAAAAAAAAAAAAAAAAAAAGAGGAAAATCTGGCAATATTTCCTAGTGCCCGAAAGACTAAGAAAAGAGCAGAGAAAACAGGAAAATACACAGGCAGAGCTGCCTTCTCCTCTGAACACCACGTGGGCCGCACTGGGGGCTCTTGGCTGTGTTTCCAGGTAGCACTGTTTACCAGTTGTCCAGAAAATCAAAGCCTGTCTTCAAGAGGGTGTTACTTGAGCTGATCTGCAGAGGGACAAAGGTGACATTAAAATAAAGCACGGGCCTCCATTCCAGCCAGACACAACCTATATACATCATTTCATTTATGACCCAGATGATAGCAGCTGTTTCTGCCTCATGGGCCCCTGACCTCAATTTACCTCAGTGTCAAGGGCCAGAGAGATGCACAAAATCCAGTGCAAGCAATAGCCTGTCACATCCAACACCAACATGCACAGAGCAGAGGAGAGCAACCTGCTTCTGTACTGGCAACCCCCTTTTTACAGACAGGGCCTACCCTTGGCCTGGAATTCACCAAGTAGGCTAGGCTGTCTGGCCAACAAGCCCAAGGATACATCTGTCTCCAACTTCCCAGTGTTGGGAGTATAAGCATTGCACCATGCCCAGGTATATTTTTTATATGGGCTCTGGAAATTGAACTCAGTAGAGGGGAAGAAGACCATGGGGACATTGGTGGCTGTCCCATCCTGTAAGCCCTCCCTGGATATCCGTGAAAGAATGTGCCCTCCACTTCTCATGAGGACTTGGTGCCATGACCCACCTGCGAAAATACAGGCTCTGAGAACAAAGCATCATCTTCTTCATCCTGCTGGGCAGCAGGAGGTGGTGGCTTCTCTGGGGACTCAGTGGGGGTGGCCTTGGGCAGCAAGCTGGCAGGGGCTTGCACAGGCTGGGGCACCTCTTGCTCTGTGCTTACACTGGAGAGGGTTTGTTGTTCTTGGGGCATAGCCTTGACCTCCCTGTCTTTTGTGATGGGTTCCTGGCGGTAGCAAGCGGGTATGACTTTTTCTCCCTTCTCCATGGACTTGATCTGGCTGGGTGTCAGTGACTGGAACTCAGCCTCAGGCCCCTCCCTAGAGCGCTCAGCATTGATCTTCCAGAAGGGTGCTTCCTCCTCTTTCCTTGAAGGTCCCAGGGCATCTAGGCTAGAAGATCTGCTGCTTTGGGCAGGCTTGGCAGCCTGAGTGCCCTGAGAAGCCTTGGCCAAGGGCCTGGGATCACTGGTCATGGTGGCTGTGCCAGGCTCCTGGATGGATAAGGAGGAGATGCTGAACTCCATCTGACTCTGTGGGGAAACAAAAGAAAAGACAAATGAGAGCAAGCCTTAGAACCCCCTGGAGCAGGCAGCCAACTCATACACACCACACTCCTCCTCAGATACCAGCAAACAATATAACGTGATAGCCATCTGTTGGTCCCAAGTGACTATTTTCACAGCAGTCCTTACCACCTAACTGAACACATTAGGAGCTATGAGGCCAAGCCTTGTCACAATGCACCCTGAATAGCTCCAAGATCAGAATCATAAAAATGGTCAAGGATATCTGTTGGCTGTGAGAGCACATGGCTGGGTTCTTTTCCTGAGGGGTTGCTGTAGTCAGGTGAGGAAAGATGTGTGGGCTCCTCAGGCATCAGGGTCTTCAGAGGGAAGGGACGCCACACAAGATCAGTCCATACCCCATGCCATCGTGTACAGACTAACCACTTTCATGACCCACACCCAGTCAACCACAGTGACTTCTAAAACACTGCCACTAAGCAGTTCTGACAGAAATCACTGCCAGGAATTCTGAGCCTTCTGTCAAAGGAGAGCTAACTGCAGGCCATGTCATCCCAGCCCTGCAGAATGCATTTAGTCTCCATCTCAAAACCAATCCTGAAGTGGGAGTTGGTAGCGCACGCCTTTAATCCCAGCACTCGGGAGGCAGAGACAGGTGGATCTCTCTGAGTTCAAGGCCAGCCTGGTCTACAAGAGCAAGTTTCAGGGCAGGCTCCAAAGCCACAGAGAAAACCTGTCTCAAAAAACAAACAAACAAAAATCCTGAAAACTTCACTTCCCCATCACTTCCATGTAAAAATAAAATAATAAACAATATTATAGAAAGCTAGAAAATAAAGAAAAACTCAGAAAAATCAGTCATAACATCTCCCCCCATAACTATAATTTTTGTGCCACATTTTCATGGTAACTGTGGTCTTGTCAGGTCTGTAATGTAGGACATGGCTTCTTCAATGCATTATGAGCACCATTCAGCTCTTTCTTGGTCTCCACAGTGTGTGTGTGTGTGTGTGTATGTGTATGTGTGTGTGTGTGTGTGTACACATATACGCATGGGTGCACACACAAGTGTAGAGGCCAGAGAACAACTCCAAGCATGTTCCTCAGGTGCCAGTGTTGTATAGTAAATTCCTCTGAGATAATAAGAATTCCATCTTGGAAGGAATCTCCTTGAGATTTAGAAAGTAAACAACTCAATAGCTTTAGGAAGTCCCTGAATCTGATCAAATTCACTATGGCTCCTCCCTCCCAAGCATATATGAGCAGTGAGGACTACTGACAGATGATATCAAAAAATCTAAGTGGCTCAGACCCACTGAGCCCCATGGAAGAAATTTCTCCAATCTGGTGAGCTGCCTGCAGGCTATGCTTTAAAAGTGTGCTTCAGGTTTCCAGCTCTGGTGAGCTGTTACCTATGATGGGATGAGCTTTTGGTAATGCAGCTGTCTTTGAGTCATTTCTACACCTGTAAGTGACCCCCCCCACTCTGCTGTAAATCACCCCCAATAAAACACACTGGTTCACCAAGTTGGATTTTGGTGGTATCCTTACTTTGCTGTTGGTATCCTATCTGGGGTGAGCAGATATTTGATAATATCTTCCCAAGAATAATGTTATATAACAGCCATCCACTTTGATGCAGGCTTTCTCTCACTGGTCAGAAACTCACTTAGAGGCTAAGTTGGCTAGTCTGCAAGCTCCAGGGTCAGTCTGTTCTACATCTTCAGTGCTAGGAAAACAAGTGCCTGTCACCAAGTCAGAATTTCTTACCTGGGTTCTAGGGAATCCCACTCAGGTCCTCATACTGCAAGGAGAGCAATTTACTGGCAGCCATCCTTCCAGCCCACAGCCACTGTGGCTGTGAACCCTCAGGAGCTGGGTACACTTCACATTCTTCTGGAACAGTTTACCCTGCTGACCCTCACTCCTGCAGTCTAGGTCACTGCGACTAACTTTGTGCATATAGCTGCCCAGTTCAGGGTTAATTTCTTCAGACTTGCAGAAACAAAATGTCAAAAAGCAAAGGTTTAAACTCTCCATGTGTGGTCTCAGATGCATACTGTCACACTGCTTTGCAGAGATGCTCTGGGTCTTATGCCCCAGCTGTAGAACAGAGTCATTTTTTGTCAACAGGGTTGATCATTTCAACCTGTGTTGATTCAGAAAACACTGGGGCACACACATGGCATCACTTGGTAAATGGGCCAGTCTGTTTTCTTTCCTTTGAACTCCTGATCCACCAGCCTCTACCTCCTGAGTGCTGAGATTGCAAGCATGTGCCACCTCACTCACCTCCACATCTAGTCTAGGTTCAGCATTCTGAACGCTGCTTATTTCCAAATTCCCCAGTAGGATGCAAAGTCCCTTGGAACAGACAGACAGAAAGACAGACAGACAGAATGGTTTCCCTTAAGTCAGCAAACTGGAAAAAAAAAAAAAAAGCAGCTTGGGTGTGTCCAAGCCTCAGAGATAGGGTTGACTCTGATCTGGAAATTGTAGAGTAAGGCATGTAAAATCAGTTTGTCACGCCCAGGATTTTTGTGGGGTGGATCCCCCACTCTGGCAGGGTCTTTGCTTAAAAGACTATGGACTACAAAGCCAGGCACCCTGACATGTGGGTGTCAGATACTGAGGAGGGAAGCCAAGCTTGGAATCCAAGGTTGTGTCATTGCTGGAGTGACAGCTGCTTCCATCAACTCAGGGTAACCAGGTGCTCGGCAGCTTCCCAGTGGGAGGTGGCATCAACTTAGAAGGGGCATGCTGCCAGGAGCAGCTACCTGCCTGCTTTGGGAACTTGGAAGGTAGACACAAGAAAATGTGGTGGCTCACCCCTTTTATCCCAGCACTCAGGAGGCAGAGGCAGAGGCAGAGGCAGATGGATCTCTGGGGATTTGAGGCCAGGCTGGTCTACAGAGTGAGTTCCAGGACAGCCAGAGCTACACAATAGAGAGATCCTGTCTCAAAAAACAAACAAACAAACAAAAAAAAAAAAAAAGAGAGAGAGAGAGAGAGAGAGAGAGAGAGAGAGAGAGAGAGAGACCGGGTATAGCGGTTCTTGTTTATAATCCTAGTGCTTAGGAGGCTGAGACAAGAGGATTGCTGTGAGTTTGAGGCCAATCAAATTACCAGAGGCTAGTCCTGCAGACCTAAAGTTACAGGATCTCCACAACACAGAAAAACAACAGGATACCCAAGAGGAGCCCCAGTGAGGGCCCAGTGTTAAATTGATGCTGTTGCAAAAACTAGAGACCTCAAATCAGGCCGACAACTCATTGCAATGAACATTTGCAAGTAATAACACATGGACTAAAGAAAGGACTATGTGACTCACTGCGTCAGACTACAGCTCCTACAACAAGATTTTTCTTTTCCTTTAAAATTTATCTTGTTTTATCCTGGATGGGGGAGTGGCAAGGGCAGAGGGCAGGTGGGAAGGGGTGGGGAGATGGGTGGGATAGAGATGTGAAATCCCCAAAGAATCAATAAAGAGCTAAATTTGAAAAAGAAAAGAAATTACCAGGCCAACAAGCCACAGCAACATCTTGTACCAAAAGCAAACAAACAAACAAAAAGGGGTGGGGAGGGGAGAGGAGGAAGGAGGGGATGGAAAGGAGAGGCAGCGGCTCCTAAACTATCTGCCCCCCTTTGCTCATGTTTACTTTGCACATAATGTGTGACTGTTTTCCTTTCACAAGTCAAACTCCTCCTCCTTGTTAGTGAAGGACCGCTCACTGCCCCATAAGATGTGAAGGTACTGTGAACCAAGATACCCAAACACTATCTGATAGCTGGGTGGGGAGAAGAACCTCTTCCCCGTCTCAGTCTATGTTGGCTCAGCTGAAGAACCAAAGAATGGGCTCAACGAGGCCATGTAAAACTGCAGGACCACCATCCCTCATGGGTCAGTGACCCCGGGTTTTCCTTCTGTGTGTTTCCCTCATAGCCTGCTGGGAATTGGCCTCCCTTACAGCTGTCTCTCATGACCACTGATAAAACCCAATAATTCTAGGCTCACGGGAGGTGAAGAGGGCAGAGCTTTGGCAGTCCCAGGACCCCTAGACCCAGTGAAAGCTAATGGAGCAGGGCGGTGTCTGGACAAGGGGACCCATGGGGAGCATCACAGCTTCAGCTCTGGGAGGCAGAGGGGGTGCCCAGAGGAGACCCACAGTTCAGCTCTTCTATTCCAGGTTCAGTTTGCCATTGGTCCCACCTAGAGAAAACAGGTACTAAGTCCCCAGGGACCAGAGCCTAATACCTTGTTGGGAAGCCACCAGGGACACACTGCAGCCACCTGTACCTTAATCCCAGAGACAGAAGTTAGCTGACTTCATACCACACACTTGGGAAGAACAGTCCAGAAGTTCTGGATGACAGAGCATGTGTTATGTGCCTGGCATGGAAGCCTTTCCCCAAAGTCACATGAAGAAGCGGACTCACTGTCCCTTTTTCACTACAGAGGAGTCAGCACGGAAGCTCACCTGACTTTTCCAGAGACTGCCTTGGTTTTAGAGGCCAGACCAGATCTCCTCCACCTGGGGCACACACAGGCCAAGGAGGAAAACAGGAAGAATGTGGATGCCAGGGACAAGTCTCTCAGAACGGCCTATCTTTTTCAGACATGGGAGTGAGGTCATGCCAGCCTTCTTTCAGTGCCCGGGCTATTGAGCCAGTCCTGCAGAAGGATGTTGCACAGAAGGTAACAGGAAGGGGCAGTTGCCACTAGGTCATGGTTATGGCATGGGCTGAGGCCAGAAAGGGTCAGGGCTCAACTTAGTGTCTTCTATGATCCTAGAGACATGGAAACAGAAAAGGAAGGCAAGAATCTCCTCAGCTCATGGCAGCACCCCACTTGCCCTCCATTCCCAGGGCTCCTGACTTCTCTACAACCTGGTTGGTCAGCAGAGTGGGCATCAGTCAGTCCATGTGGGGAACAGGGCTCAGCTGGCCACATCCATTCTAAAAACAGCAAGACCACAACAGAGCCCAGTGTCTATTTTTATGTCCTACTCACTGGAGAGGAATGTGTGATATTCAGCAAAGGGAGGAGAACATGCCACTAAAAAGGGCTGTTTGGCTTGGCAGCTGCTGGCAAAGCTAAACCATTGAGACAAAGGCTAGGCACACACAGTCAGAAAGCTCATCACAGTTCTCACAGTGGTTGGGACAGTCAGAAATGGGGTTTATACAGCAGCTGGAGGGTGGGGGGATCTTCGGGGGAGGGTGGGTGGAATCTAGCAATGACACTGTGGTAAGGAAAGACAGGCAATGGAAAGCAGTGAGGGGGGCTTCAGGGAGACCTGTAGGAGCCAGGGTCTCAGGGGCAGCATTGAGGCCACTGAACTAAAGGAACTGGACAATTTCCACACTCAGGGAAAACACGAAGGAGTCTTGGGCAGAAGACCACAAAGCTGAGCTCTAGCTTTCAGGAGGGGTTAGGATAGCCTATGGGGTCACGCCCCTCAAAAACTGACATAACACTGAGGAGCTACATGCAAGGCCATGGCTGAGAACAAGAGGATCCTCTGTCCTCCATTGGCAGTGACTCTATGACCCACAGCCACTAGGCATTCTGCTCTCTAACCAGACGGTTATGTGACCTTCGCACCTACGGCAGGAACAGGAACAGGAGGGAGGAACTTAGATGGGTAGTGGGGAAGGACCTTGTCTGGAGGATGGAGGATGGAAGATGTGCTAGTGTGTATATGGGTGACAGTGTGTGTTCACAGGGATGCTGTTTCCTCATGAGGAAGGCCTGGAAGGTTCCCTGCCCTAAGCAGTCCACCAGGCCTGGACATCAATGGTTTGACTTTCCTTGGTCTCCTTAGGAACTGGAACAGGCAGCTGAACATTAGTAAAGACAGACAGACAGAAGCCAGACAGCTTAGGAGGAGAGGGACCTTGGGGACAAGTCCCAAGGGCCTAGCCTCCCCATAGACTCCCCAACTTGTCTGTAGCCCAAGCAGCCTGGGAATGCAAGGAATCTTCTCCGTTCCTTCCTCCCTTCTAGTCTGGGGCCTTCTGGGTGCTGCGTTTTTCCTCTGGAAATATAGGAGCCTGAGAGAGGAATGCAACAGTCCCATGGGTATCCTCCCCACCAGCCCCCAACTTGCCTGCCAAGCTGATAGATGAGTGGGAGAGATTACAGTGGTGACCATATCCCTGTGGGAGTGTGTATAGGGGACAGGGCAGTTACTGTCAGAAGTAGAGGGATATGTCTCCCATGATGGAAAATTTGGATATGTTCATTAGCTTGATCCAATTATCTTAACATATGCAAATAGCAAAATATCGTGTGCTCCATAAGCACACGCAACTGTGTAATAAAATGACAGTATGGGAGATAGACAGTGATGGACGCACAGCCATGTGAAGGTACTAAACGCCACAGAACTGCACACTCAAAAGTGGCTAATGGGGGCTGAAGAGATGGCTCAGCAGTTAAGTGTGCACTGCTCTTTCAGAAATTCCATCCCCACACCCATGTCTGACAGCTCACAACCACTTGCAACTTCAGCTCCACGGGGCCCAACACCTTCTTCGGGCCACTCTGAGTAGCTGTACACATATGGCATACACGCATACACACATTAGTTTTTTAAAAAGTGTATCTTGTGGGCTGGAGAGATGGTGGCTCAGCGGTTAAGAGCATGGCAGCTGTTCCATAGGCCCTGAGTTCAATTCCCAGCAACCACATGGTGGCTCACAGCCATCTATAAGGGGATCTGATACCCTCTTCTGGCATACAGTTGTATATGCAGAGTACCATATACATAAATGAATCTTTAAAAAACAAAATGAAATAAAACAAAACAGTTTTCTTAAGTGGTTAACTGGGACTGGAGAGAGGCATAGCTCATCAGTAAAGAACTCACCTTGTGAGCACAGAGACCTAAGGTTCACACTCAGAACCCATGTTGGAAAAAAGAAAAAAAGGGAGCAGAAGAGATGACTCCATGGTTAAGTAAGAATGCACACTGCTATTCCAGAGGACCCAAGATTGGTTCCCAGTACCACACTGGGCAGCTCATAACTGCCTGTAACTCCAATTCCGGGGGATCTCAAATGCATCTGTAGGTACCTGCACTCACACCCACATATACATACACACTGAAAGACACACACACACTCACACACAGTAGTAAATGGGCTAGAGGGTTTGGTATGTGTGAATCCCCAGGTTCAATGCCCAGCACCCCTCCTTAAAAGCTAAGCTAGTAAAATTTACATTATGTGACTTTTTATCATAATTAATAAAAACTATAGGCTGGGGATATTGCCCAGTAGTAAGCTCACCTAATATTTGGCCCTAGGTCCAATTCCCAGTACTACAAAAACAAGTAAGTATGCCAAGAGCAGTGGCCTTACCCACACCTGTAGGCCCAGCAGAAGGGTTGTCAGCATTGCCAGGATCACCAGGAGTTGGAAGCCAGTCTAGGCTACATAGTGAATTCAAGGCTAGCCTGAGCTATATACAAACGATGTCTCAAAAAAAAAAAAAAAAAAAAAAAAAAGTCTGAGGCTGGTGAGATAGCTCAGAGGGTACAGTTACTAATAACCAAGCCTGATACTGAGTTCAATACCCAGAACTTATAAAGTGGGAGGAGAAAACCAAGTCCAAGTCCGCCAAACTGTCACCCAACCACCACATACAAGCCATGGTGTGCATGTATGTGCACATAATAAGCAAACAAATATGAAAAATTTCAAAATCAATGGATGATAGAGCTAGAGTAGCAAGAAATGCCTCTGAATTAACAGTGGCGAGAGGACCACTCTAAGGGCCAAACCTTGCATTAAACATACTGCAAACGACGCACCTATTCCTCATACTGCAAATGGCACGCCTATTCCTCTTGCCCTACACCTTCATTCCAGCAGGCTAGACACTGGCCAGGCCAGGAACAAAGCAGGTTCACTGCTGAGCAGTTTCTGTTCTACCAAAGGGCCTCACGGGCACCTACACCCCCACAAGGGTCACTGTGGTGAATACCCAGGCTGGATCACTGTGGCTGGCACCACCCAGGTATGTCACTGAAGCTCTCCTGGGGTTTTGGATGACAGGGATCAATCCTGGTAGGACCACCAAGGCCAGCCCAGCTAAGCTCTGCTTTGACCCAGGGCATCACATGCTGAATGGTGCTGCTTCGCCATTGGCCCTGGGAAAGTGTTTGGATAGGTGACAACTGATAATGTGCGCTCAGTATCCACAAGGGTATGAAGACCATGGGGTTTGATTTCCAACATGCTCCTAGAGACTGAAGTTCCACCCTTACTAAAGCTGCCTCCTGTGTGTGGCTCTCAACCAAGGTCCCTCAGAAGACTGCAGCCCATTTTATAGAAGCAGAGGTGAAAGTCCTCCAAGATTGTGGCTGAGGAGCAACTCTGTACTGACTGAGGAGTGGAAGGGGCAGAAGTTTACTTCTCCACGTACAGTATATGCCCTGCTTTGCCTCTAGAAACATCAGCACTGAATCAGCATGAATGAGAACATGAGGGCAGAGGCAGCATCCAGGCAGCCCAGGTCTGGTTTGCTGTCAGCCTCTGCACAATCTAGAGACTCTGCACAATCCAGCTCCCAGCTGACTGCCTCCAACCCTAGCCCTCCACATAGACCTGGGTTCTCCACTAATCTACAATTTACAAAGCCCTCCAGGGCCTGGGCAAGGTAACACTCTCCTGTGATCCCAGTACTGAAGAAGCAAGGGCAGAGGGACTTCAGTTTGAGGCTAGCCTAGGCTACATAATGAATCTCAGTCTTAAAGACCTATGTGATGTAGAAGTCGGCTTCTTTAGTACAGTCAGGATCTGTAAGGCATGTGTATATGGAGGAATCCACATTCATTCTCTGAATGTGTTCATGAGAATGGATGCCTGTGTCCTCCAGTCACAATCCAATCCTGCTAAACATGAGAACAACCTCTAATGTCAAGGCATCAGTGTCAAGACTGATCACTTCCCTTAGGTCAGCCACCATGTTCTAGACTCGGTCTATGGCATGAGGTGGTGCGGCTGTGCCTGTCCTCCAAGGGCATGGTGCATCTGAAGCCAAGGTCTGAAGGAGAGGCCTCTCAAGGTCCACTGGGACTCCATCAATGTTCTCCAATCTTGAACCTCCCTTTCCACAGGTCCCCTGGTACCAGGGTTAGCTGGGACAAGTGCTATGATCAGAAGCAGTGGGGAATAGTGAAAAGCCGAGAAGCAAGGCTTTTAAACTATCTGTGCCTGAAAAGCCCATTCCACACACAGCTGCCTCCTCTACAGCACTGTCCACTTCAGAAGCACCACCATGTGGAAAGTTGTGGAGTTCGAAAATCCTGGCCTCTCACCTCTCCTTGGCTATAGGACAGACACTTGGTTCTTGGTGGTCTTGCTGCTTACTAAGGTCCTTCTCCTAGACAACAGGGAAGATGGGGACATGCCCTGAAGTCTGGCTTGATGCTCTGGCAGTGATAACAACCAGTACATGAGTGACTGGGAGACGAGGGTCCATTTCCATGTGTTCATGTGTGTCTGTGTATGTGTGCATGCACACAAACCAACCAAAGTCAGCTAACCAGGAGCTCTAGGCTATCCCAAGGGGCATCCACCACCACAGTGACAAATACTGGTGGGCTAAAGTATAAAGAAAAAGTATCCTGACAGAGCAACCCTCACCTAAGATGGCTGGAGTTCATCAAAGAACTCATGGGCCTTGGGGATATCATGGGACACTGTGGGACCCGTAAACAAATTCAGTTCCCCCACCCCACTTTGTCTTACCAACATGGGCTGCCAACTGTAGTCCAGCATTAAGGACCAACCATAGCTCTTTTCACCCATCAAATATTGAAAGAAAATATACAGGCACTCATATTTTCAAAAGGGACAAACACATCTAAATTTCATTCAACTTACCCTTGTTTCCCAGGAGAATGGGGCCGAGTGCTCATCTTGCCAAGTTATGTCCTGAAATAAAAATTCAAGAATAAGTCTGAGGCCCAAACTTCGAAACCCCGTGCTGATATCCATCCAGAGCTACGAGGGACCCACACACAGGACTCCAAAACACTCCAGCTCCAAAAAAACAGATGTCTCAGTGCTTGACAAGGCCAGCACTGGAAACTGAGGCATCCAGGCTGCTGGTCCTCTCCTGCCACACAGGCATCTCAGTGAAACCTCAGCAGACTCACCCCAAGACAGGAGCTTCAAGAAATGGGATGGGGCTACTGTCCTCAGAAAAACGGGGTTAAGTCTCAGCCCAACAAGGGCGAACTATGTTCTGGCATGAGGGCACAGCCTTCTGAATCTGTTTCCTTGCTCTCTGAAAGGCTCACATGCCCTGCAGGCTTGCTGTGAGGTTGTAGCCTGGCAACTTGTGCAAAGACAGCCAGCCACACACTTGTGCCCCCTCCTCCCGGCCACGTGAAAGGCACTGGTAGCAGAAACAATGATGCTTTCATCAGGGTAATGAAAGCATCTAATAACAACACTAATGTTGCTCCTGACTCAGCACACACAGTGCCTCTGAAGAACTCCTCAGAGCACATCCTGGACTCAGACCCTGGGAGATCCTGTTTGCTAGATTGAAGGGTTTGAGCCTCCTCTCTACCTCCACAAGAGTACCTGTCTGAACCTGGCTGCTCTAAAATATGAGATAAATTTTCATTTTTTTTTTTTTTAAGACAGTCTTGTGTATCAGTCTGGCTTCAAATTCACTATGTGTCCAGGGATGACCCTTAAGTGTCCAGAAATGACCTTGAACTTCTGATCTCCCTGTTTCTACTTTCCATGTGCTGAGATTTCAGGCATATACCAACATGCCTGTTTTATGGAGTGCAGGGGATTGAACTCAAGACTTTATGTATGGTAGGTAAGCACTATACCAACAGAGCTTTGTCTGAAACCCCAGATAAAATATGCAAACTGAGTGACATTAATTCTATGTTCATCTCCCACTGTCCCCAAACAACTCCTAGGTGATTTACATCACTCCATGGAGTACCCAATAAATTATGCCCCTTGTCACCTAGTGGCCAGGTGACCTGACTCTAATCTCCACAGAGAGAGCTGTTGTGCCCACACCTCCTTCTTCAGATGCTGACACAGCTCTGCCTCAGACCAGCCTCACAAATGGCAGGAACTCCTAGAGAATGCTTGCAAGCATAGCAGCCATCTGTTCTGCAAGCCAGCTTTCTGCAGGCACACCCCTGCTGAGTTGAGGAGGGCTGATGTCCAGTTAAGAACTATATTAACAAAGGCATGGTGGCTCTGGGCAGTTGACAGCCTGTTCCTAAGAGTGATGGAATGAGGAAACCTCACAAGGTACAATAACATAATGAGCCTTTCCTGCTTTATCCTCAGAGCTAGAGAAGCCCAGGTTTCATAGTTCAGGTCCTCTGCACAAGCTAAGTCCTTACATACTGCAACTCACACACCTCACATATTCCTATTCCCAAAGCATCGGGATGGAGGTACCAAGAATAAAGCTGCCATTTATAGAGAGTAAGTAGTTGGTGGCTGAACAGTAAGGGCTAAGCTACTGTGGCTCCTGGGGCTGGGGGCTGGGCATAGCAGGAGGGGCTGCAAGTTCATGCTTAGGCCCTTTCCTCCAGTGGGTGTGAGGAGGGTTCAAGGATGGCACATTAACACCAGAGAAAACCTGTTCACATGGATACATGTTATACCAAGACCACATGACAGAGAGTATACCCCAGACCTGGATAGGTTGCAGCAGTAAAGTGGGGTCAGGCATTAAAGAGAGCCAAAAGGCACCTCAGCTGTGCAGCCAATAAAGTCCACCATAAATAGCCATTGATCCTGCACAGCGGTAATGTGCATTTGGCAACATCTGTTGGGGATCTTGGCTCCAGAACTGACTTGCACTGCGTTTTTAAAAATATTTACTTGTGTGTATGTGTGTCTGTGTATGGATATGCATGGGTGCTGGGAACCAAACTCAGGTGCTCTGCAAGAGCAGCAAAGCTCTTAACCATTGAGCCACCTCTCCAGCCCACTTGGGCTATTTTGCACTACACTGTCGTTAGGCAGAACTTCTAAAAATGAAAACAGTGTCACTGGTTCGTTCCACTTTGGAATTTCAGCTAAGTCCCAGTTACTTCCAAAGTCTAAATTCTGCCCCTCCAAAAATGGCCATGGCTATCTGGAGGAATGTGAGTCAATGCCTGGGAGCGACAGTCGCAGCTGGAGCCTGTCCTCAGCTCTGCAGGCCACTGAGGGAGGAGATAGCAAGTTAAATGACCCAAAAGTCTCTGAAATTCCAGGCTCTCGGGACGCTATGCACTCCTCTCAGCCTTCAGTGGGAAGGGAAGCAGGTCAGTGGAACAGATAGATACTCTTATTCTAGATGTGACTTGTGTGAGAGGTGAAGGGCATTGTCTGGCTAATGCATTTTCACACTGAGGCCACCATCCCAAGCCACATTGGTGAACAGAGGAAGGATGGAGGGAGCACAAGGGTGGGTAGGAGCTGCATCCACTTATGTGTCACCTGGCCTGACTCTAATACCTTCTGTAACGTCAGTCCCTTTGAATCTCCAAAGATAAGTCAGAGGCTCCTGGCTGTGGGAGGAAGCAACTGTGAGCAAGGCTCCAGGAAGCAAAAGTCAGGCCCAGTGCTTGGTGGGTCTGAGCCCCAGGGTGGCTGCACACACTTCCTGGAATTCCATGGGGGAAGGGGGGTTACATGCAGGGAGAGGTCACTGAGATTTACCCTCAACTTAGAGTCAACAGTCTTTTGTTTGCTTCAGCAAGAAGCTTAAGCAAGAGGCAGATTCCTTGGATTTCTGCAATTCTGAGCTCATAAAAAATAATAATGCACTTAGCAAAAATAAATCTGCCAAACAAAAATGTGATGGGAGCTCTGTCGTCAGCTGGTGCCTCCAGCCATAGACCGTGCTGGCATCAGAGCAGGCTCCCAGGCTGCCAGCACAAATGGTAGCAGAATCTCAAAGCGTTTCCTGCCCCCACACACAGAAACACACTCACTTACACAGACAAACTCACACTCACACAAAGAACTCCCATACAAACATATTCTCACACACAGATACACTCCTACACATAGACACAGTCCCACACAGATCACACTCCCATACCTAGATACATTTCCACACAGACACACTCCCACACATAGATGCACTCTCACAGACACACTCCCACAGATACACACACATAGACATACTCAGATTTTAAGGTACTTATATTAATGTACTTAACTTGCACATAGACAACTGTATGCAGAAACATACACACATACTCACATAAACATTCACAAGCACAAACATACATAATACACAAACACACACACATTCATGCATACACACACACACACACACACACACACACACACACACACACACAGTGTTTCCCCTTTTTCTTCTGCTTTCACAGTAACCAAGAGGCAACCAAAATACAGCCAGGTGCAGGCCTGTAGTGCAACTATGCACTCTCACTCTGGAACTGCTAGAAAGCTTCCTCCTGCCTCCCAGGCACCCAGATCTGAAAGCACAACACACTCATGTCCCTCAGATCTCAGGACAACACAGGTGGCCTTCACGCTGGCCAACCATTACCCTCAGAGTCCAGAATCCCATCTGAAAGAGGCACAGACACTGGAAATTTGGCTGGGCCTCTGTAGGGCACAGAGTAAGAGTATGCCTACCCGCATCTCACCAAGTCAGAACAGCCAAAGCAGAACGGAAAACCACAAGAGACAAAACTATGAGGATATAGAAGCATGGAAAACCACAGAAAACCACAGAAGGCAGCAATCAGAAGCAGGTACATACTACACAGGAGGGTCTACTGGTCTTCAGGAGCTCCAGACAGAGGCATGAAAACTAGCTAGACCACTACCATCTCAGGTGCATTTGCTGTCTGTAAAATGTTGACCCAACTCAGTGTCTCCAAAGGAAAGCAGTATTACTATGTGTGTAATACAGATAAACATATTCTTCACATTATGCTAAGTGATATAAGCCAGACACAAAAATAAATATTGTTTTTATGGTCCTATCGACATGCAATACTAGAGAATGAAAAATCATAGTGACAGAAAACAGAAACTGCTAGAGGCTGGAGGTGGGGTGGGAGAACAGGCAATTATTGTTTTTTTGGTTTTTTGTTTGTTTGTTTGTTTTGTTTTTAAGATTTATTATTATGTATACAGTGTTCTGTCTGCATGTATGCTGCAGGCCAGAAGAGGGCACCAGATCTCATTACAGATGGTTGTGAACCACCAGGTGGTTGCTGAGAATTGAACTCAGGACCTCTGGAAGTACAGGCAGTGTTCTTAACCTCTGAGTCATCTCTCCAGTCCCAAAGCAGTTATTGTTAATCTGTACTGTTTTACTGCCTAAAGGATATAAAGTTTCACTTCAAAACAACACAAACATCTGGTCAGAACAGTAGCTGGCTTAGTGTGACAATCTAAATTCAATCCCCCAGAATGTGTAAAAGTAGAAAGACAGAACCAACTCCACAAAGCTCCCTATGAACACCACATAAACACTGGCACACATGTTCACATACATACATCATGCATACACACAATAAAAAATAATTTAAAAACAAACAAAACATGTCTGTGGACATTTAGTGGCACATGCCTTTAATCCCAGCACTCAGGAAGCAGAGGCAGGCAGATCTCTGAGTTTGAGGCCAGCATGATTTACATAATGGGTTTTAAGTGAGCCAAAACTACAAAGTGCAACTCTGCCTAAAAAACAAAAAACAAACAAACAAACAAATAAATAAACATGGCTGTGCATCGCAAAGGACACCTATTATCCTAATGGTCAGGAAGCTAAAGCAGAAGACTGGTGAGTGCCAGATTAGCCTGGGTCCCATAACAAGACTCTGCTAAGAATAAATAACTAAATAATCTGGAACTAGATAGTGGGAATGGTTGCATACACTTTAAATGTGTGGAATGACATTGTACACTCA